CTGAACGCAGGCCTGAGGCTCCTGAAGCCACGCTTGGCCCCGGACTCTGTCCACCTACTCATGGAGTGGTGTTGGAAGGAGGTGAGGACATTACCCTTTTTTCAAGCAGAACTTCTGCTGATCATAAAATGAGCAAACGATTAACTGTCGTTTGTTTTCTGTTCTGTTCCCAGAAACCAGACGATCGCCCAACATTTGGGCTCCTCTTTCACGAGCTGGCCTCCCTTTCAGACGCCTGAACCAACATGTGATTTGTGATTTTTTTTATATATAATATTTATTTTATTTATTTACTGTAACCAGTTGCTTGTCATTTGTAAAGTTAGATTATTCCAAAGCAATTTTATATCCTGGATTTTGCACTTTATCTCTTTCGTAGCTTTGTAAGTATCCCCTGAGAGGGCTCACACAGTCCATTCACACAGCTACTGGTGCTTCCTGCAGAATCATGTAAAGGTCTGAGTAATTCTATAAGCCATATAAAAGTGAGATGTTTGCTTTTCAGTCAGCTGACTGTCATTAAACTGAATGTTTTACATCTTGTCACTTCTCACTGTCTTAGTTTCCTCCACTACAATAATGAAATCTTGGCATAAGAAATATTTTTGTTTCTATATGAAGAAATTATTGAAGTTGCCAGATGTTATATATATTTAGAAATTAGAAAGGCTTTCCTGTTTTATGGAGCTCACTGACATTAGCCACAACAGTCATATTTTTGATGATCATCCATATACTGTACATAAAAGATGGACATAGCTACAACAAAGTCATGAGTCATGTTTTTTTTTTTTTTAATGAATTCATTTTGGAGTCACAGGTGACCACATTTGGTCAAGATAGATTTATTACTCATTGCTCGGATACATCGTAATATGTGGTAAGTAATATGAGTCATTGAAACTGTGCTAAAGGTGGAGCACAGTCTTCTTGATTAGACTATTACTACAATTATCCAGAGATGAAGTCATGTTTTTGTGAAATTATATTTAACAAAAAAATGCTCTATATCGCACCCACACCATGAACAAGGTTGGTCGATTTCAACTGTGTGACTCTAACTTCTACAGCTGTCTATACCAGCAGCCCCCCACCCCCGGGCCACGGACCGGTCATTTGGTACCGGGCCACGAGAGTTGAGCCTCGGGTGTGAAATTTATGGTTTTCAGGGTTTGTATCGTTAACTCGGTTTCCCTGGGTCTTTTCCCGTGTTGTAGTTGCGTGTCTTTTTTTGAAAGAAATATTTACACATTACCATAGCGACCAGAGAGCATTAAGAGGCAGAGAGGAGGATGTTACTCTCAATGTTGTTGGTGCATTTCAGGAGGACGCTGCTAATTAAGTTACACAATTACACAGTGAATTCACGTTTATTATTATATTTACAAAATACCACAGTTTTTGTCTTGGTCGTATCTTTTTTTTTGTTGTTGTTGTTCTTGTATTTATCCGTAACACCTTAAAGGCTGGTCAGTTAAAATATTGTCTGACATTAAACCGGGTTGTGGCGTAAAAAAGGTTGAGGACTGCTGGTCTATACCCACATCAATTTTTCAGTCAAATAAGCCATACATTTTTGGAATGACTCACTTTTGGAGCCAGACTCCAGTGGCCAGTCAAAGAACTGCAGTTTCTGGTACAGGCACTTTTTTCCCATATCAAATGATCAATAATTCTCTTCTGAGGATAGTGGCAAGACGTGGAATTGCAGTTTCCTGCTGGGACATAGAGCAATGTGCAAAAGTCTTGAGCCACCACTCATTTTTTAATATCCATTATAGGAAAATGGAAAAAAGGTGCAGAGAAGGGAAATCCAGTGTAATTTGGCATACCTCAGCCTTTTCTTTCCATTTCCCTTCCCTAAGGATGTCTTCTTGACGGTGTCAAGTAGATGGATCAGCTGAAGGGTCAGGCACATCTCTCAGGTTCTAAAGATACAATTTAAAACTGATTTGTTGCTAAATTGTGTGTTATTTGCAGATAGAATGAATGTTG